TTTTTTTTTTTTTTACTCTCACACACCTGGGATACTGTCCTGAGGAAGTGGGACTGCAGGTGGCGCTGTCGTCCTGCCTCCAAACAGGAAAACAGCGACAAAACCTGTTTAAATCATCTGAACGACACGACAACATCACGAGACTCTGAGGAAGACTGTCAGGTCCGAGAACAAAACAAAAAAGACCCTAACAACACACAAGACGGACCGATTTTAGATGAATAAACACGTTACAAACTCAGATATGTCGTTTTATAGACCCTTCTCTCTGGAGGGACCTGGAAGAATGACGCAGTGTGACGCTCTGTTTTCCTGCGGTCCTTGAATGACACGTCCGCAGTCACTTCTTTACTCTTTAAACGGGTGGACTCTGGGGTAAATTCCGTGAGGAGTGAGGTGAACGAGAGTCGGTTTCGGCGCCGGACCCCGCGGCCGTTCAGTCCGGGTAGAGCAGGAAGCCGGAGAAGGTGCTGTACTTGTTGTTGTTCCCCCCGTGGGCCTTGCCTCCGTCCAGTTTGATGTAGATCTCGTCCCCGGAGTCCAGGTGGAGCACGACGCTGTTACTGGCGTAGTCGTAGTTCTGGTCCGCGTCCTGGGCGATGGCACTGGCCCGAACCTGGGACCAGAGGCAGGAGGACAGGTGGTTAAAAGTGACTGGGTGGTTTTCATATCGTCCTTTTATACAGTTCAGTTTTTAAAGAAGACCGTTTGTGTCTGCGGTGCATTTATAATCTATTTACACAGTTTAATCCTTTAGGCGCCTGAGGTTTTTTCCTAAAATGTTCGATTTTTACATTTTAGTCCTGGTTTAGTCCTGGTTTAGTCCTGGTTTAATCCTGGTTCAGTCTTGGTTTAAGCCTGGTTCAGTCCTGGTTTAGACCTGATTTAGATCTGGTTTAGATCTGGTTTAGTCCTGGTTTAGTCCTGGTTCAGACCTGGTTTAGATCTGGTTCAGATCTGGTTTAGACCTGGTTTAGTCCTGGTTTAGTCCTGGTTCAGACCTGGTTTGGATCTGGTTCAGATTTGGTTTAGACCTGGTTTAGTCCTGGTTCAGACCTGGTTTAGATAGGGGTTTAGTATGGTTTAGTCCTGGTTTAGACCTGGTTAAGTTCCTGGTTTAGTCCCTGGTTTAGATCTGGTTTTAGAGGTCCTGGTTTAGACCTGGTTTAGGTCTGGTTAATAGTGGTTTAGTCCTGGTTTAGGCCTGGTTTCAGACCTGGTTTAGACCTGGTTTAGTTCTGGTTTAGCCTTGGTTTAGTCCCGGTTCAGTTTAGTCCTCGTTTAGACCTGGTTAGGGTTAGTCCTATTTTCATACTGGTTTAGATCTGTTGAAGACCTGGTTTAGCCTGAATAAAATTTGACATCGTATTTCACAAAACCGTCCGTTTTATTCGACGTCGGCGCTGAGAGGATTAAAAATCTCAGTATTCGTCTTAAACAGTTTTCGTCTCCGTAAACGTGATCATAACAAAGAGCCGTGCAGCTGTCAGTGCCTCCGATGCAGCGCTGCACATCACACTAACGACGAGCAGATTCTGTCAGTCCTACGGGTGTCACTGATTAAGAAAATAAAATTATAAAAAATACATGATTAAAGTTTGCTCAAACATATGATTTCATGATCACATTAAGGTTAAGGTTCTGTTTAGAAACTGTTTGGTTCAGTTTAGGAGTGTGAGAATTTAGTGCAGGTTAAACTGAGCCTCAAGACTTTTATTCAGACATTCATCAAAGACAAACTAGAAAACTTAATACTGACTTTTCAACTGGCAGTAAAACACTCTGCTTTTCACTGGGCGAGTTCTTCAGGAAGCAACAGGGCCCAGCAAAATTGGTCTGAGGGCCACATTTGGGCCCCGGGCCACAGCTTGGACGTGCCTGTTCTAGTCAAATCCATAACATCTCCATGGAAACAAACAGAAAAGATACACAGTGCACCTTTAATATAATCCAAAATCCTGTCGTTCAAAGAGAATAAACTGAGTGCAGAGTAATAATAAAATCCTGTTCTTCTCATAAAGGGATTAGAGATGATTGAGAGAACACAAGAGGTTCATCAGAGCAGGACAGAGTGAGACGTGCTCCACACGGAGAAGACACCAGGAGGAACTGTACTCATAAAAACAACAACAACAATAATAATAATAATAATAATAATAATAATAATAAATAATAATAATAATAATAGTATAATATAGGAATTATACTCATATAATAAAAAAACTGTATTCTTCAATGTCCAGTTGTGTTTTTCACACAAACCTCCAGGTCTCGTCGGTGATTCTGTGTTGGTGTGACGTCTGCAGAGTTCAGGTGCTGCAGTGAGGAGCACAAACGACAGTGGCCAAAGTGTTGTTGTGTCCTTAGGCAAGACACTTTACAACAATGTCTCTGAATGTTTGTGGGAGTGATGGTGGGTGGAGCGGCTGATGGTGCAGATTGGCAGATTCCTTCTCTCACCAAAACTCAATGTGATTGTGAGATTTAATTTGTCGTGATC